TCCTTCCTTCCTTCCATCCATCCATCCATCCATCCATCCATCCATCATCAGCTCCTTCCTTCCTTCCTCCCTCCCTCCCTCCCTCCCTCCCTCCCTATGGAGGGAAGTTCCTGGGGGTCTCGGCCAGCCCGCTTCCCAGGAGGAGGGGTGGCTGCCTGGCCGATGCCTCCTTTTCCCCTCGCTCCGCCGCAGAGTCCTGTACAAGGTGGCCTATCGGCAAGGCGTGAAGCTGGACTACCGGAGGCGCTACCGCTGCTGCCAGGGCTACTACGAGAGCGGCAGCCTCTGTGTCCGTAAGTCCTTCCCTTCAGGGGGGCCTGCTTTGGGAAGAGGGTGGGCTGCCCGAGAGGGCCGTGCAGGGGCTGGGCCGGGCTGCCCCTGCATGGCAGCCTGCAGAGCCCAGAGAGAGGTCGGAGGGTCCCCTTGGGGGGATGGCCTCAAGCTCCCTGCGCCACGACTGGCCCGGCCAGTGAGTCTGGCCCCTTTTTTTCAGCTCGTTGCACCCACGAGTGTGTCCACGGAAGGTGCGTGGCTCCCGACCGCTGCCAGTGTGAGCAGGGCTGGAGAGGCAGCGACTGCTCCCACGGTGAGTCTCTCTCTACCCTCCACGCCTCTCTCCCTCTCTCCGTGGGGGCGTTCCTTGGCAAACTCAAAAGTGGGGAGGCTGCACGCGGGGGCGCGCCGGTTTGTCCGCTGGGCCTGAAGCCGCTGCAGCCGATTCCCACGCATGGGGGGCCTCCCCCCCCGACCTGGAGTTGGCAGCAAGACTGGGAAAGAAACACAGGAAGGGGGTGAGTTGGGGGGAGAGGGGGAAAGAAGCCGGCCCTTAGGCAACAAAGCCCACAGCCCACCCGTCGAGCCCTTTCTCTCTCTCTCTCTCATACACAGAGTGCAGCAGCCTCTTTTGGGGGCCTGCCTGCCAGAAGCCCTGCCTGTGCGCCAGGGGAGCCGGCTGTGACCCCCTGACAGGGTCCTGCAGTTGCCCGCCTGGCTTCCGGGGCACCACCTGCAAGGAGCCCTGTCCGCCTGGCACCTACGGGCCGGGCTGCCTCCTGGCCTGCCGCTGTGAGCACGGGGCCCTCTGTGACGTGGCCACGGGGGCTTGCAACTGCTCCCAGGGATACACCGGACCCCAGTGAGTATCGAAGCCGGGGCGCCAGCTGCGCACAACCGTCCGCCGCGGAGCCCCTTCTCTCGCCCGAGGGCTGAATGGGACCCGGGCCTCCCTCCCCTTGGCCTGACAGCAGGGGGGAACTGGGACGACTTGGGACAAGGCAGAGATGGCCAGCAGCCGGTGGGTGGAGCTGAAGATATCGTTCCTGTGGAGCAAGCCGGCGGATGGGCGGGCAGAGGGTGGGCTTTGCTCCTGGCGCAAGCAGATGATGTGGAAGTGTGGAAGTCGGCAGCCTCCCCCCCCTCCCCACCCCCTGTGGACCAGGCATCTTCCCTCCCGTCCTTCCGGCGTCCCCTCTTGTAGGGGTGGTCGGCCTCTGCCCAGCCTTGTCTGGAGGAGGAAAGAGGCCGCCGTCCCCTCAGACGTCTGAGTCTCCGGGCAGCCGCCCCCGCAGGGACCTCCCGCGAGAGGTATTGCCGGGCCTGGCCTGCCAACATGATCCCTTCTCCCTCCAGGACCCAGGGCGTCATCATCATCATCATCCCCATTTCCCCCCACCCACTGCCTCTCTGGGAACTTTCAGGGCCCTAGTGGCTGGGTGGCAGGAGGACTGCCTGGGAGGTCCCAGCTCCCCAGGGGGGGGGGAGAGAGAGAGAGAGAGTCTGCTCTCTGCCTTTCTTCTTGGTCCTCTTTCCAGGCCAAAGGCCTCAGACGCTCCGAGGGCCTGCCTGCCAAAGGCTGCCTTTGGGGGTGCCAGCAAGGGAGGGGGGTTGGGGGCTGCATTTTCTCTCCTGCGTCAGGGGCTGGGCAAGGCCCCCCCCCTTTCCCTGCCACTGACCCTTGTGCCCTCCTCCTCCTCGCAGCTGCGAGCTCGCCTGCCTCAGCGGCCCCCCTCATGAAGGACTCCAGTGCTCCTCAGCCCCCTGCCCCTGCCAGAATGGGGGGCTCTGCCACCCCCCAGGGTCCACCACGTGCATCTGCCCGCCTGGATGGATGGTAGGTCACCCCAGAGGAGGGGGCGGGGGCGGTGAGGAGGGCCCCTTCATGGGGGGGGCAGAGCTCCGCCACCACCTCAGGCTGGGAGGGCCCCCCTGAAGCGCGGGGCAAGAGGGCGCGTGTGTGCGTGTGTGTGTGTGTGCTTTCCTGGAGCTGCAGGAGACCCTGACGGCGGCTCTTTCTTCCTTGCCTCCCTCCGCGCAGGGCGCCCTCTGCTCCCTCCCCTGCCCGGCTGGGCGCTTCGGCTCCGGCTGCCAAGGAGAGTGCCAGTGCCGCAACGGAGGCCAGTGCCGTCGGGACTCTGGGCAGTGCCAGTGTGCCCCTGGATACACGGGGGAGCAGTGAGTCCCAGGAGGCCTCTTTCGGCTCCTGGAGGGGTGGGAGGGAGGGAGGGTGGCGGCAGGCAGGGGCGCCTCCTGTGGTGAGAAGTTGGGGCGTGAAGGCCCCCCCCCCGGCAGAGCCTCCCATCGGCTGCACACTCCACCTGGCGGATGATGGGGAGGAGCATCAGGCACACTTCCTTGATGGGTTGGTGGGTGGACTGAGATCAGCAGAGAGAAGGCGAGGTGGGAAGGGGTCTGCCCCACCCCATTTGGCCACCGCTGGCACCCTATGGCTCCCCTCCCTTCTCCCCCCCCACTAGGAGGGTGACAGAGGACATAACCTGCAGCGGCCACGTGCCGCCCCCCCTTCCCCACCCCTCCCCGTGGCACTCCCTGGGCGGCCTCCCCCACTGCAGCCCTGAGGCCATGCTAGGCCTCCTTCCCTGCTGGGCTCAGCCTCTGCCTGCACCGAAGCAGGCGCTCCCAGGCGGAAGCGGGTTCCATTCTGGCTGCA